TTTCTTCTTATTGTTCTTATATATATATATATATATTTATATATATATATATTTATATTTATTTATTTATTTTATTTCTCTTCTTTGTTTGTCTTCTTTTTTTGTTTTTATTTATTTTGTTTTTATTTATATATTTATTTGTTTTTATTTTTTCTTGTTCTCTTTTTATTATTTGCATTCTCTTCTTATATATCATTAAAAACACAATCCATTTATGAATATAACTATAATTAACATATAATATAACAATATTAATATTAATATTATATATTTATTTATATTTATATTTATATTTATTTATATTTATATTTTATTTGTTTTTAGGTTTTCGCTACGGGGTAGATTACGTAGGGTATGACATAGAACGCGTCGAGAACTTCTCAGTACCGTCTGCAGCAGCTTGTCAGTCTCTTTGTTTATTAAATTCTTTTTGCGCATTCTTTTCATATAAAAAATCTAACAAAGGCTGTTATTTAAAGACTGCTGCAGCAGGTATAGGAGAGAGAGAAGATGCAGATGTTATATCAGGGCCTCGTATATGTGGTGCTGAAGATATTAATAATAACAACAATAACAACAACAATAATAATAATAATAGCAATAATCAAGAAGGAGAAAGTCATGAAGGAGAAGGAGACGGTGAAGATGCCTATACACCTCAAGGTGTATGTGCATTAGGTAGTACAGCATATAGAGGAGGAGATATAGAGACCCGCAATAAAATACACTCAGCTGCTCTTTGTCAGCGTCTTTGTGAAGACAACCCTTCGTGTTTCTACTGGACATTTGATAGAAATAAATCCGCTTGCTTTCTTAAAGACCAGTCAGCAGGAGATAATATTGTTTCTGCAAGAGAAACACTCGCGAAAATATCTGCACCCAAAGATTGCCTACCCATTGATGCAGGTAAAATGCTGCTGCTGCTGCTGTTGCTGCTGTTGCTGCTGTTGCTGCTGTTGCTGCTGTTGCTGCTGCTGCTGTTGCTGTTGCTGCTGGTAGTGGTAGTGGTGGTGATAGTGTTGATGCTGCTGCTGGTTCTGCTGCTGCTTTATATGCATTTGCTGCTTATGCTGCTGCTTGCTTGTGCTGCATTATTATTTATTATTATTTCTACTATTCTCGCTATTACGACTCTCAATTTTATTATCTATTTATTTCTTTATTCATTTATTCAATATTTATTTATTATTTATTTATTTATTTTATTTATTTGTTTTGTTTATTTGTTTAGGGTGCCAGCAGGTGGATACAGGTTTCTTAGGATCCGTAGTAAATCAGCTGCGAAACGTATTAACGTTTGAAGCATGTCAGCATAATTGTCAGGCTGAAGACAAATGCAGTTATTTTACATATAATCGGACAAATAAAATTTGCATTTTAAGAAGCGCTTCTCCTTTCGGTTATATTAAAGATGCTTCGACTGTCTCACAAGTCTCAGGGCCTAAGTTCTGCCCTAATGATGGTAGGTGCTCAATATAAATAAATAAATTAATTTAATTAAATTAAATTAAATAATATATATTTATAATATATATATATAAACATTTAATATATATATGTATGTATGTATATATGTATATTTTATAATGTTGATGCTACGTTTCAGGTGTATAGGCACCTTAATTTATATACATAAATTTTAATGTGTTGTTGTTTTATTTTGAAGTTATTTTAAAAATATATTTATTTTTATTTTATTTTTAGGTATTGTTTACATTATCTCTTTAATTGATGCATGTTCTTTTTATTATTTTTATTTATATTCACCCTAAACCCTGAAAGCTAACAAACATACACTCCAGATTATAAATACCTATTGATCTATATTTACATATATACATATATATATATATATTTTTAAATAATTTACTTTAATTTACTTTTATTTCATATATTTATTTATATATTTATTTATATATTTATTTATTTTTATTTATTTTTCTTCAGATGTATGCATAGAACAAGGAGATTATGTTGGCTATGATATTGAAGCAATTGAAGACGGCAGCGTAGACAGCGCAATTGCATGCAGACATTTGTGCAAACAACGCGAAGACTGTCACTTCTTTACATATTTAAAACCCTATAAATTTTGCTATCTTAAATCTCAAGATGCGCTGCTAGGAAAAACAAATGCTTTATCAACATTAGGCAGATACTCAGGGCCTAAACACTGCTATATGCATTATGGTGACCCTAAACCCTAAACCCTAAACCCTAAACGTTAAACCCTAAACCCTAAACCCTAAGCATTAAACCCTAGACATTAAAACCTTAGCATTATAGTGTAAATTCTAAACCCTAAGCCCTCAACCCAAAACTATAGAATTTAAACCCTAGACGTTATACTATAAACTGTACACCTTAAACCCTAAACCCTAAACCCTAAACAGCTGCAAATGTATGTATGTTTTAGGCTCGTTGGAGATCAACGCTGCGTATTTGACAACCGAAGCTGAACGAGTAAAAGGTGTAGAGAGATACGATGATTGCGAAGCAAAGTGCCGAGAAGCTGACTACTGTGCAACGTGGACGCATCTACCTGCAGGAAAAGTTTGTTTGCTGCTGTCTGCTGCTGCTGCTGCTGCAGCAAAGAAGACCCCCCTAGACGGGGCTATTTCCTCGCATAAACAGCACAACGATAAACAACAAAACAGCTGTCTTACTCCTGGACTCAAATACAAAAACCCATACATGGTAAGGGATCATATTATTAGGGTTTAGGGTTTAGGGTTTAGGGTTGAGGGGTTAGGGTTAATATATATATATTTGTTTATTTATATTAATATATTAATATATTAATATATTTATTTATTTGTTTCTTCAGGCTTATTTGAAGAGTTCAAAGAGTGCAAGCGACTGTCATTTCGAGTGTATGAACAGCTCCGGGTGTACAGCATTTACATTTGAGGAGGGTGTCGGATGTTTCTTGTATAATACCCCTGTTTCAGAATTAATATCATTGCCTCTGCTGTCTCCGACGAGTGTGTCAGGTGTCTCCTCATGCGGGTCTGCTGCTGTAGGTAGAGCAGGTGTTTGTTATACAACAAATGTATTAGAGGGTTTAGGGTTTTATGCTTATTCTGCCTCTGAATGCGCAGCTGCATGCACTAAAGTCTCTTTATGTGCATCCTGGTCTTATAACCTGAGAGAGAAGCAAACAAATTGTACTCTTCATTCGATCGGTGCTGCACTGTCTGCATGCCCTACAGCAGTATCAGGCGAGCCTCCGTTACAAAGAGGATATTATTATTTCTTTCGTTATGATGCTGCTGCTGCTGCAACACTTTCAGGTGTACAGACACCTGAAGAATGCATGCAAAGAGGTTTAGAAGCTGATATGTCTTTCTTCTCTTACTTCCCGCGAACTCTTGTTTGTAAATTGCATGCACAGGGTAATTATAATAGAGTTGCTGATTTAAATGCTGTATGCGGTACTACTGAAGATGCGCAACTGTTTGTTTCAACAACAACAACAACTACTACTACTACTCCGCCTGCTACATCTGCTGCAGCCCCTGCTGCTGCTGTTGCTGCAAGAAGGCGTGCTGCTGCAGCAAGTAGCAGAGCCTATAGAAGTGCTTCAACCCATGTAAATCCTAGAGCTAGATGGTAAGAAATAACCCCTCCTCCTGCTGCTGTTGCTGCTGCTGCTCTTGTTGCTCCTGCTGTTGCTGCAGCAGCAGCAATAAGTGCAGCAGCAGCAGCAGCAGCAAGTGCAGAAGCAGCAGCAAGTGCAGCAGCAGCAATGGGGTATGTTTTGCTGCAGATCCATTCTGACAGTCTTCTCTATCTACCCTGATTGGTGATTAAGTGCAGCAGCAAATCGAAGTAGCAGCAGCAGCTGCTGCTGCTGCTGCTCCTTCTGCTGCAGCAGCACATGCAGCAGCAACAGCAAATGCAGCAGTTGCTGCTGCTGTTGCTGCTGCCCCCTTTGGGGGATATGAGATAAATTCATTTTAAGTTTGAAAGGGTTTATTTGTTTATTTTTTAGTGTCTATGCAAACCCTAAACCCTAAACCCTAAACCCTAAACCCTAACCGAGCTACAAACAAAATTTCAAAAGCCTAAATGATGACCGCCCTACAGCCCATCGGATTGAAAGGGTTTAGGGTTTAGGGTTTAGGGTTTAGGGTTTAAACCCTCGTCAGAGTCAGAGTAGAGGATATCCTTAAAATTAATTTAAATATTAAAATTATTTTAAATTATTTTGTGTTTATTTATTTACAAACAAAAACTACAAATATAATATATCTAATTTATAATATATATATAATATGCATGTAGATATATATATATATATATATATTTATCTATTTGTATATATATACATATATTTGTTTAGATTTATCTATTTGTATCTATATATCATTTATTTTATTTTGTTTTAGTTATTTGTTTATTTATTTTGTTTATTTGTTTTTGCTGAGCATAAACAAATAATTAATAACGAGAAATTTGCTTAAATAAATAAATAAATTGTCTACATAATATTTAAATAAGTATGTTGTTTAAGTTATATAAACATATATATAGATATATATATATATGCTTTAATATAGAGATATACACATGTATATATAAATCATAACTATATTTATGTAGATGAATAAATAGTTTGCATAGGGGTTTATTTAATTAAATAAGTAAAGAAGTGCATGCATTAACGACAAACAAAAACAAACAAAAAGCAAGACAAATAAATAAGAGTATTTACATCGGAGAAAAAGAAGAAGAAATGATGTTTATGCGCACAACAGCGCCTTAAAACAAAATTTAATGTCTAAATAATTCAATAAAACAAACAAATATTAAAAAAATAAATAACTAACTCGTCAGCAGCAGCAGCAGCAGCAGCAGCAGTAGTAGTGGGTTGCTGCTGCTGTTGCGGTGTTGTGCTGTATAGATGATTGAAGCAATTAATAAAAGCAAATAAATAATAAAAATAAATAAATAATAAAGCATAAAAACAATAAAAATAGTCTTCTTTTATTTTTTCTTCGTTATTCACACTTTCAGGTGTATGTACAGACGGGGCTGGCATACATAATAAACATAATATATATATATATATATATGACTATTTGTGTTTATAAGAGTTTATTTTAATAATTATTTATTGTTATATTTGTTTTATTTGTTTTATTTTTTTCTTTTCTTCACTTTTCTCTGTTTTTTTATTTTTTTCCGCTCTCCCTCTGCTTTGCTGCGGTGTATGTGCAGGTCAACGAAACAAACCATCAGAAACTGCACGCAGTAATTTTGTTTTTTTCTTTTTTTATTAAACAAATATAACACTTTAAACGTAAAATTCTCTAAAATCACAAACTCCAAACACAGCACCAGCCCTAACACCGACAGCAGCAGCAGCAGCAGCAGCAGCAGCGATAGCAGCAATAACAATAGCAGCAGCAGCAATAGCAGCAGCAGCAATAGCAGCAGCAGCAACAGCAGCAACACCAACAACCACAGCGGCACAACAGCTGCAACACCAACAACCACAGCAGCAGCTTCAACAACAGCAGCAGCAGCAGCAACAACAGCAGCAGCAGCAACAGCCGCACGGCTTGTCCTATCCAGCCCGAGTGAAGATCCCTCTGACGCCACACAGCAAGAAGCACACTACAGCTAGAAAAGCAGCAACAGCAGCAGCAGCTACTGTTGCTTCTGCTACTGCTGCTGCTGCCGCAGCAGCAGCACTAGCAGAAGCAACAGCAGCAGTAGCAGCTGAAACAGCAGCTATGTGTATGTTTTGCTTGCACAATGTCTTTCTTTTCTTTTAACAAACATTAAGAATGAGTCAGCAGCAGCTACAGCAGCAGCAGCTGCAGCAAATGCAGCAGCAACAGCTGCAGCAGCAGCAACTGCAGCAGCAGCAGCTTCAACAACAGCAACTGCAGCAGCAGCAGCTTCAGCAGCAGCAACTGCAACAGCAGCAATTGCAACAGCAGCAGCTGCAACAGCAGCAGCTGCAGCAACAACAAATGCAGCATCAGCAAGTGCAGCAGCTGCAGCAGTTGCAGCAGCTGCAGCAACAACAACAGCATCAGCAACAGCAGCAGCAGCACTTTCATCACCAGCAGCAGTTGCAGCAGCAGCAGCTGCAGCAGCAGCAGCAGCAACAACAACAACAGCAGCAGCAGCGTGCTGCTGCTTCACCGCAGCGGCGTCCTGCCCTAGCTGCCTCACCCCCCAACAGCAGCAGCAGCAGCAGCAGCACAACCAGCAGCAGCACAACCAGCAGCAGCAGCAGCAGCAGCAGCAGCACCAGGGAGAAGAGAAGCTT